AATAGTATCAAATCAAGAAAACAAACGATTAGATTAATGACCGCTTTTATGAGACTCCGTAGGTCTCCACCAAACCCTTCACCCGGTTTACGTACGCAGACTTGGCCTCGTCTTTCGACATACCTGTGCACCCATTCAACGCATTAATACATATGATAATAGGCCACATCGAGAGCCACAATACCTTTCTTACTGTTCCAGGCGTCCCATTTGGCCTTTCCCTTCAGGTCCAGGAGTCCGGGTCGGGCTATACACGAGGGGAGTCATCACACGGGGGTTACACTAGTGGCATAACACAGGGATGGGTAGACCTACCGGTGTTGCAGTCGCCTTCAGAGGCCTGTTTGAAGAGGGCGTAGATCTCAAGCAATTCCTGGTCCGTCGGCTTTGCCTTCAACTTCTTCACGTCTTCGGCAGCCTTTTGAAATTGCTGTCAATTGGGGACAAAACACATCTTATCATCAAATGTCACACAAATAGCTTGCAATCAATTCAGTGTTCATTCAATTGACGTATGGATTCATTCAATGGATCCACACATCAATTGTCAATACATTAAATGACTATTAAATTAGTGAATCGTATGATAAATACCTGATCGGCGGACATGTCTTCGTGTGCTTTCGGATCAATTCAATTGATGGCAAGATTTAGCGACAGATAAGATAAGAGATTCAGTGTTTGTGTCAATCGTTTTCCTCAAATGCGAGTCAATTGGAGAGACAGTTATGACTGGATTTGACGCAAATGTTGTCCGCAATTGAGTCCACAATAGGTTTCAATGAGTTTTTATGTCACTTAACCGGTAAGTGTTCACTGGTTTCACAATTCAATTGCAGTTAAACTTATGATAAACTCAATGTTCACGTCACAGACACTCAACTATCACCTCATATGAGACCAACTCATGTGCTCCACCTCTCGGCTCAACCAATACTGAGCTATAGTTGCCGTCCCTTCCCATCGCTCACCGGAAAAGTTAAAGTTTTCTCCACTTTTCACTTCACTTTTCATTTAATTGTTTTTAATTTACACTTAATTATGAATTTATTTATGAGATTCACACCAATTGAACCAATTCTTTGCGAGTGACTCATAGGAGTCATGTATAGAGCATATTATACATACATTTTGGGGTTTTTCTATTATATTCTGTAATAATAGGCCAAACACTCACTTGTCCTACAATTGTCTCTAAATTAATTACTTAATATATAAATACCATAACAGACCCATATAACCATTAACTCAACCAGGTTTTCATTGACAATTAAAGTTTTTTTTGTTGTATTTTCTCTATTATTATTATTTTAATGGCAAAAAGTCGGGATTTTCCTGGTTTTGCAGTTAAAGTATTTTAAATTTATTAGAAGTCTATTGAAACTAACTGTTCAACAAATGATAGATTCATATAAATATTAAAATATGGATTAGATTACTATTTTATTAAATTAGCAATTATTGTTTTGTAAAATTTAATGCTATTTAAAAAATTAACATTTTAATCATGCATATAAAACAATTGAATCAAACAGAATTATCATGGTAGTTTATATGAAGTTCTACAATAAGCTAATCATGAAGTGATATACTGTAAGCCTTATAGAAATGATACAATAAAAGTAATGATTAACTTATGATATCTAAATAAAAACAATTATTACTAAAATGATCTCAAATATGATTAAATTAACTACAATTCAAAGGACGAAACAAACGGCAAATCCAATCATATTTACGGCTAATTCCTGACGTATTTGTTGGACGTATAGTCTGTGCGCTTGTGTTTCATGCACTGAGAGCTGACATCCCTTTCCGTTAAGTGTGTCTCCCATACAGGCATTCATCTCAACAAACTATGGTAAGTTTTGTTGATAATGGAAGTGTTTGGGTGATAATTAACACCATTGTCGGTGACGTGTAGGCAAAGAGGACGAAGAAAGTAGGAGTGGTCGGGAAGTACGGCACCAGATATGGTGCGTCCCTGAGGAAGATGGTCAAGAAGATGGAGATCACCCAACACTCGAAGTATTCGTGCACTTTCTGTGGCAAAGAGTCCATGAAGAGGACGTGTGTCGGCATCTGGAGGTGTGGCGCCTGCAAGAAGACAGTGGCCGGCGGCGCCTACGTCTTCAGCACCACCGCCGCGGCCACCGTCAGGAGTGCCGTCAGACGTCTCAGAGATATGAAGGAACAGTAGATTCAAAGATCACTGGATTATCACTGAATTTGTTCCCAAAGTGACGATTATTTGTATTTTTTTGGTCTTATATTTAATGAATGAATAAAAGGTATTGAAAAGTGATTGAAAGCATTGAATCGTTATTTTGTTTATTGGCTTTAATTACACTTAAATTGTTTGGCTATTAATAATACAAATATCGTAAATATTTTACAAAATTAAATCATTATCTCATTTACACAACACTTAAATATTTAGATATAATTA